GATACAGACTCAATGGCACCTAACTACAACAACAACTGACTTTAAATGTTGGAAAAAAAGAAAAAATATCTGTAGTTGGAATATATGGCCTAGGTGAGAGAAATGATGCTGGAGATCCCATGATGGAATTCTGCAAGACCAATGACTTACTCACTGAAAGTATTTTTCAAAATAAATAGCAACTACACACATGGACCTCATCAGATGGAATACACAGAATTTAAATAGGCAACATACACATGAAAAGATGACAAAGAAGCACAATAGTATAAGCCCGAAAATGACCAGAGGTCAACTGTAAAAAAAAACATCAATTGCTTATATGCAAGTACAGGTTGAAGATGAAGAAAATTCAAACAAGTCCATGAGAGCTAAAATATGACCTGAATTTAGAGACCATTTCAAGAACCCATCAGATCTGACACACTGAACATTAATGATTGAAACCACAAGAGTTGTGGAATGACATCAAGTTCATCATAAAGAAAGAAACATGTCATTTAGAACACAGGACAGAAGTAAATGACCAAAGTGGATATCAGAAGAGACTCTGAAACTTCCTCTTGAAAGTACATAAGCTAAAGAAATGGGAAAAAATAACGTACAAGAGCTGAAGAGAAAATTCAAATTTATAATGAAATGTGCAAATATCTGGAGTTAGAGATTCAAAAGTGAAGAACAGGCTCAACATATCTGAGACTGAAAAAACTGAAGAAAGTAATTCAAGTCTTAAGTTGTAATATTGAAGGATTCTACGGTCAAAATACTAAACCATCAATAGAAGATAGAAGGTTTACCCCGAGTCTCTGTATTAAAAAGAATTGATTGATGTTAACCCATTTCAACAGGTAACATAAGATCAAGAAACAATGGTATTGGAAAAAGAAGTCCAAGTTATAATGAAAGTATTGGTGAAAAACAACGCTCCAGTTACTTATTGAATACAAATAGACATTTTTCAACAAACTGATACAGTGGTAGGGGTGCTCACTTGTCCATGCCATGAAATTTGGATGGCAGCTACGTCACGAATCAACTAGAAGAGATCTGTATTGTGCCCGTTACAAAGAAAGGTGACCCAACAGAGTAGATTCATTAAACAGTAACAATATCGCAGGCAAATAAAATTTTGCTGAAGACAATTCAAAAACGATAGCAGCAGTACATTGATAGGGAACTCCAGAAATTCAAGTCGGAATCAAAATGAGAACATGAATGCGGGATATCACTGATGTCAATATGGATCTTGGTTTACATGTGTTTTATTGACTATGCAAAGACATTCAACTGTGTGGACCATAACCAACTATGGATAACATTGTGAAGAATGGGAATTCCAGAACACTTCATTGGACTTATAAAGAACTTGCACATAAACCAACAGACAGCTGTTAGAATAGAACAAGGGGAAACTGAATGGCTTACAATCAGGAAAGGTGTACTGCAGGATTGTATCCCTTTACCATACTATTCAATTTGTATGCTGAGCAAATAATCAGAGAAGCTAGATTATATGAAGAAAAGCATAGCATCAGGATTAGAAGAAGAATCATTAACAACAACCTGTGATGTTCACATGACACAACCTTGCTTGCTAGGATCAATGAGGACTTGAAATACTGACTGATGATATTCAAAGATCTGTAGTATGGATTGCACCTCAATGTTAAGAAAACAAAATTCCTCACAAGTGGACAGAGCAGTGTTTTTTTTTTCTGTTGTGCATACGGTGGCTAAGAGTTGGAGCCAACTCAACAGCACCTAACAGCAGTTACAACTCAACTTCTTATCACTGAAGAGCAAAGAATGAGTTGTAAATCACAAATATTTAAAATAAAACATGGAAAAGAGAAATACCTCAAGTTCCACCAGAGCTGCGGTCACCGCATCTGTTGCAAGAGCACCAGACTGTAGTTTTTCAATTGCCTATGGAATCAAGGGCAGAAATTATTCATTGTAAAACCACACATTCTCAAGCATGCCCATAAACTTCCCAAAGGCTTAAAGAGGTGCAGGAGACATTCATGGTTAATAAAAAATGATCACTAGTTCCATTCCAGGAACACTGGTTTGAAGCTGCAAGATAAGCATCTGACTGCTAACAAAAAGGTTGGCACCTCAAACCCACCAGCTGATCCTTAAAAACTCTATTCAGAGGTGCCATAAGTTGGAACTGACTCGATGGCACTTAGAAACAGCAAGTTCCATTCCATACTTTAAGCCATAAACTACTTACATTTAAGACAAGCAGGTTAATTTATGTTATTTTTTTGTTTTAAGTGCTGTCAAGTCGGTTCTGACTCATGTTAACCCTGTATAGGGTTTCTAAGGAGCAGTTGTTAAGTTTGAACTACCAACCTTGCGATTCAAACCAACCTTGGGGTCCGGTCCAGTGCTGCATCCCACAGTGCCACACCAGGACTCCAATATTATTCAAATAGAGACAATGAATAAAACCTGGCCACTAAATGCAAGATACCATGAATTCAGTAACTGAAGGACTTCATTCATCACAAGACAATCCAAAATAATCACAGAAATCATATAAATTTAGTTTGATTTAAACATCCTAGCAACTCTGATGTATCTCCATCTAAGTTAATAATGTCTCTTTCCACTGTTACTGCTCTTCCTATCCATATCCATAAAATCAGTGGCATGTCAGAATCCTGGGAAGAAGCATGTTATGCTACAATGTAATTTACATTAAAATAAACAGATCATATTCTGATGTAGCACTGTCAGATAAGCGCTGGACTGCAAGGTCAGTTTAAACCACAAGGTCAGAGGTTCAGTCTCACCACCCACTCCGTGGAAACGCTATACAGTGTCACTATGAGTCAGAACTGACTCGAAGACGCTTAACATTCTTTTATAAAATAAACTACAAAAAGTAAAGGTTTAAAGCATGGCAAAAATTAGGAAAGGAGACTGGTTCCTACATGAATTATTAAAGCTCTAATTTAAACAAAGAGAAAGGACAAAAACTAAGAACTGTATTCCTCATTAAACTTACAAAATTCATTTATTATATCAACTGAGACAGATTACAGAGTCCAAATATATGTTTCTAGTGCTAAAGTTCTATAAAAGTAAAACTTGTTTCTGAAAAGATTTCACACGTTTCAAAATATGTACAAAAAAATTATAAAATTGCTGAGGGTAGGTATATCTCACATGAGCCTTGCTATTTTTCATTTAAAAATATATAAATTCTTGAAATAAAACACTGTCTCTCAAAGTATAATCACTCTCTGAAGTGGTATGCAATTACAAATGAAAATAACTGAGAGAAACCTGTATTTACTTGATTTATAATACCCAATTAACATTATATTTGCATTAAAAGTATGGAAGGCTTGAATATAGTCAGGATAAAATAAAAACAGTATTTCTTCTAATTCCATCCCTGTCCCACATTAAGTATCCAACTAACCTCAAAAACCAAATGGAAAGAAAAGTACAACTAAGTACAAGGGTAAAGCTAAGCCCAAGAATGACAATGAATTTGCTGTGATACAAACTATGTGATGAAAAACAGAAGGCAAAAATACTGGATAATCTCTCTTGGCAAAGATTAAAAGAGATACGATCATGTGCCCACAATTCCAAAAATACACACTTTAATCTGTAGAAGGAGAAGAGAGATCTAAGCATCATCTGGAGAATAAAAAACACAAAACAAACCCAAAAAAGACCCCAAAAATATGAGCAAAGTAACTCTGTGATCCAAACCAAAGATTTTCTTGTAAATGAAACCTTAAAATTTTTGAATTGCTAGGTAAGGATGCTTTATGTTCCCAAAGTGAAATGTTTAGATCAGGCATTTTGTTAAATCTTTTGACAAGCTCAAATGTTTAGATCATAAGCTTTGTTCCTACCTTTTGACAAGCCCGTTTGCATACATGTTTATATTCCTTGGCTTTGGATTCAGAATGATAACCTGCACCTGCAAAGAATCAATCAGTTGTTAGTTAGCATTAAAACATTAGACCTAAATCTACCTTGATAATGCTCTCTCAAAAATTATCTGTATGAGACCAAAATGACAAAAGCAATCCAAAAGATAGGTACTTTAGGGGACAGTGAATTTATGTAAATGAGAAAGGAACAACTCGGAAAGGAAGGAGGAGAATGGTTGCACAACCTTAAGAACATAACTGATGCCACTAAATTGTGCATGCAGAAACTGTTCAACTGGTGTATGCTCTGCTATATATTCTTAACAACAAAATACATAAAATTTAAGACGAGAAATAGCAGACTTTGCTTACATTAGCAAAATAATCTATAAAAACGGGTCCTATCCTAGTGGAAATAAAACTAGTGCTCTAACTGTATGGAATTATAAAAATCTAACAGCTTCTTTCTCCAACTGTAAGTCTTTTTAATATTATGTCTTATATCCTTTTTATTAAGAACTGTGCTCCTGCTAAAGAAGCTAGAACTCATACATGTCCTCAACATCAACTCTACTCCTTCCAAAAACCTCTCACCAAAGTCAGGAATTCTCCCTAGAAGGTAGATAGATAAGGTCCCTTCAAGATCTCCTCTGAATTTGGGGAATTACTGTTCAGAATCTGGAATTCTTACTAGCGGCTTCAAAAACTATGTCGCTTCTGAACAACATTTGAAGTTAAAAGATGCTACTTGTATCCCACCACCACTACCATGGCTACCCACCCAGATGCTTAAAATCCTCTCAACTAACTGAAAAGTACCTCATGATGTCTCTGAAACCTCAGTGAAACCACATCAATGACAGTTTAGTAGAAATCCTTGTGGTTCCTGCCTCTTGTCCAGGAGCCTTGGTGGCACAGTGGTTAAGCACTTCACTGCTAGCCAAAAGGTTAGTGGTTGGAATCCACCAGCCTCTTCGTGTGAGAACAGTCTAATTCCATCAAGATTTACAACCTAAGAAGCCCTATGGGGCAATTCTACTCTGTCCTACAGGGTTACTCTGAGTTGGAATCATAGCAAGAAACAGCAACAGGTGCTTGGTTTTTCCTGCCTCTAACAACACACAGACACTTCCACAAGGGAATGACTCTCATTTCCCTAAGGCGACTAAAACTTGCTTGGTTCAAGATCTAGGAAAAGTCTAAAAACAAGAAAGAAACAAAGTCCAGACCCTTTACACGCTCTTGATGATTAAGTGTCCAATTAAAGATCTCTAACACAGTACTGAAGCCTTCTCCTTCCCCTACAGCCCTATAGAAGATTAAAAAGTACTTCTGTAGGCCTCTCAACTCCTATTGTGATTCTTAAGATACTTGAACATAAGCCAAATTAACCTTCTCCATGGCAGTAAAAGATTGGCCCATGGGATAGCATAAAAGATGCACAAACAACTAAAACCCAATAATACACCCCCACTCATTTGAAATGATTAGACCAAAGACCACATAGTTATAAAAAGATGAACATTATGTAAAAATGAAGAATGACCATCTCAGACCACAAAACGGAGGATGACTGATCAATATGTAACTACCAAATTACATCATAACTGTTAAATTACATCATGACATGACTGCCAAATCACATTGTCACACAGCTACAAAACCACTTAAACTCATGGCTCAGTCAAGTTGACACATCACAGCCAACTTTACTTTCACTGAGCACCTCAGCCTTCATTATTACCAGATGTGTGTCATTAATGTGGAAAATAGTAGGATAATGTTTTTTACTATTGTCATAAAAGCAAAATGTCAGATGATGAGTAAGTAAACGAGGACAAGTGCTAATCTTGTTCTCAGGGAACACTGAATCTCCACAGAGCCTATGCCAATAGTGATCAGGCTACTCTTCAAGGTTCTCGAGAAATATGTGATCTCAGGCTAACCTATATATCAGAGGCCACAATCTTTCAGCAGTGTTTGCATAGGATTTTGTTGTCAAACAGACGACTTTATTGTATGAAGGGTTGGGGGTAGAATTACTTATCATGGATTGTTGTTGTTGTTATGTGCCGTAGCATCGGTTCCGACTCTTAGCGACCCTATACAGGGTTTCCGAGGCTGTAAATCTTTACGGGAGCAGATCGCCTCATCTTTCTCCCACAGAACCGCTGGTAGCTTCGAACTGCTGACCTTGCGGCTCGCAGCCCGATTCGTAACCACTACGCTACCAGAGCTCCTTACTCATCATGGGTAGTCAATGTCAATTCATGGCACTTATTTGTGCGTCAGTTTTCAGTGGCTGATTTTTCTAGAAGAAGATTGCTAGGTCTTTCTTCCAAAAGATCAATACAAAGTTCAAATCTCCAACATTTTGATCAGCAGTTTACACCACCCAGAAATTCCTTAAAGGTATGGAGAATAGTATTAAATAGCAGGACCATATAATCTCTCGGATAAAAACAAGAAAAATACTCAGCTTATCCTTAAAATCTATTTAACACTAACAATTTAACAAAGTAAAGGCAGGTTCAGGATATACCACAGACAAGCAAAAGGATCTATCTAAAATTCTATTTTAGTGCTTTATTTGAATTGTATTTAAAATTACTCCATGGCAAGTGATACTTATATTCCATTTAAGAAACAAATAAAAAAGTAATTTAATAAAGTATCACTACCCATTTGACCTAGCCTTGATGGCTTGATAATCAGGACTTGACAAAAAAATTTTTGATAAAGGAAACAAGGGTAAATTGCTATAATTTGATGAACTTGACCTATACTCATGGAGGTAGTAATTCTAAATACCAACAGAGAGGGAAGGAGTCTTCACATTAAGTATCAATGCTATCCTCTCTGTACACAGGGTAAATAGGGATAGGCAACTTAGACGTTGGATACCTAAAATGAGGGGGCGATAAAAGCACAAAATGACTGGCTTACAAGGTTTCAAGAGGGAGTTTTGTTTTAAGAGTATGAGGGGAGAAAAAGAGTCCCCACTGAATAGTTTTCATCTTGTCTAGATGGGTCTGGTGAAAAGAGATGGGGATAAGATTCATATGATTCAATAGTGAATAATTGTTATCATGACTAACTATGACTGTCACAATTGTAAAGGTAGAAGTTTTGTAACAAAAACAGTTAAGTGGTTAATCTTACAGACCAAAAACAGAGGACCCTAGGACCATCAAGGGAGAAGAGCACAAGCAGAATGTGGTACCTTATCCAGAGAAGCAGCGATGCCAGAGATGAACGCAGAGATGGGATTATGGAGAGGGGGAGCAATTGAAGACTTTAGATTCATAGGAAGAGAAGGATTAAGAGCTCATAGCCAGGAGGCAGACTTGCAGAATATGCCCATTGGAGGTGTAAATTATTATATATGCCTGAGTTTTTGTTTTGTTTTTTCTTAAATAAAATAAAAACTAAAGTGAATAGAGAGAAATACTGTTAACTGATGGTACATAGAGGAAATTATAGTCATTGTAATGAAACAAGGTATATGATTTGTTGAATGTAAAACTGATGATCTATCCTGTAAACTTTCACTCAATCCACAATAAAAACCTTAAAAAAAGAGAGAGAGATGGGGATAAGATTCTTATGATTCAATAGTAAGTAACTGCTATCATGACTAATTGCGACTGTCACAATTGTAAAGGTAGAAGTT